ATGTACACCTAATTCGGTTTTTATACGGTCTTTTTTTACACGATTTTGATATAACACGGTTTGAAAATTAGAAATTGCATACATACATACAATGTATGTACATATGTACATATGTTTTTCTTTAGAGGTAAGGAACTTATTACCTATTTTTACATATAATCAATGTCTTTTTTACACGGTTGTTTCTGGAACCAATCTACCGTGTAAAAACAGAATTAGGAGTATATAAAAATCCTGCACCATTGGCAAATTATAACGATCCCGACAAGCACTTCAACGCATGCGTGCACACCGTAACTAAGTAGATATAAAATGTATATCTATACTATTTATATTATAAATTATATACATATGTACATATATACAAGCGAATTTACATGTGTGTAACGCATAATCACTAACTGGATTTAATTAATAATTAAAAAAGTGTTCACACATATATGTACGTACATATGTACATACAGGGTGCGCCATCTTTTATGTCGGTATGTAAATATTGAATAACTTTGTCATTAGTGCACCGATTGACTTGAGTAGACCAGTGTTGAAAACCTCAGTTCAAGAAATTGTACAGAACCAAATTAAATATAAATATCTCATACTTGAAAATCGGTTGTTTATTTTCAAGGATATTCAATGTTTGCATACCGACATAAAAGATGGCGCACCCTGTATATGCAAGCGCATGTACATGTGTGTATATACATATGTATGTATAAAATTCTTTTCCAGCTTTTTTAGCAGTGCTTTCCATCTTGTGGTGTCTGCCTTGTCGGCAGCTTAAAATATTTGACTTGTTGTAATTAGAGAAGGTGGTGCCACTGTCAAACTTTCTGCTCTTTACTTTGTATTCGTACATACATACATACCCGTATGTACATATGTGTACGTATGTATGTACACGCACATAGTATGTGTTTATGGTGCGTATTATTATGCCAAGGTCTTGATATAACTTCGCCACTTATTCGGTCCTCATTATGCCATTTGAAAGCGAAATTCGGCCCGCCCATGGTAAAAGGCAAATTACTTACGTGGGCGCAGTTAACAGCGCGAGCAAGAAATGGTCGTTAATGAATGAGATTTGCAAATGAGGAAAAGGGCGGGGGGATATGATTCGTTAGATCAACGTGTACAATAAAGTCCAGCCAGTCTTTAATGGTTTATTTTAATAGATAGGCCAACAAAATTTCGAATGTTCATAGGATTGTATTTCTGTTTCTGATGCGACCTAGCTCTGATTCAGATGTGCGCTGCACCACAAAAACAAAACAAGAATAAGAAGCCCTAAGCTTAATCTCTGGCCACGCTCTGCCCGCAGCTGTTGTTGTTGTTGCTTCTTGACTTATGTAATTCTTTACTGCGCAAATGGACGTACACAGACACGCCTAGGCAAACTGATGAGCCAAAAAAAAAAAAGTATTCTTTTGACTCTATGTACTATGTTATGTAATTTTGATTTTTTTAATTTTATTTAATTCGTTTAATACAAAAAAGGTAAAAAGAATATAAAAGTATATATATTCCTGATTAGCGTGGCGAGAGAAATCGACCTAGACATGTTTTTCCGTGTGTCTTTCTGGATGAACGCCTGGATTTCGGAAACGGCTGAGCGTACATTAAACACTAAACTTGGCTTGCAGATGCTCCTAGTCCCCAGTCTATACGAGTCCATTTTACTTTTTTGATTCCCCCCTTTGCCCGCTACAGAATTTCGTCAATTCCGTCGACATGTCAAACGCTATGAACATTTCATACGTAATTTATATCCAATTACAAGTATGTACTATTGTTTCAAATTTCATCTAAATCTGTCAATTCTAACACAAGTTATTAGCGAAACCATTTTACTCCAGTACTATGCCCACAAACTGCAGCATCCAAATTTCGTCAATACTGTCCATATTTCTGAAAATATATGAACCAACTTGGTATGCAGACTCTTCTAAAATCCAGGTAACACGTGATTATTATAGCCTGGCTATAACTTTCTTCGTAATTGATTGATCATGGATGGATATTAATATATGTACGAACACATAATTACTAACTGGACTTAACTAAAAATGTGTTCACTAATATCGGCCAAGGGGGTGGGGGGAAGCATCCAGGTTCAGTAGGGGAACCTGGATACCAACTTTGGTAATGCTAGCTCTTGTAACTTCTGCGATCCTCGTAGACCCATAAGGAATGCTGCCGCGGGTATTAGTGAGCCGCTGCCGGCAGAGTCGTGGGTCGAGTGGGTCGAGTGGGTCGCTGCCGACAGTAGCAGAGTGTCGTTCGAGCCTCAGACTGCTGGCGGCAGCGGATCACGGCAAACTACGGCTGGCTTGCACGACACATGGTGAGCCGCGGCAGAATTTCTCGCGGGTCCGAATGAGTCGTGCTCGCATTTTACGATCCTTGATACTGTATACTATATACATATGTATACTATATACATACACTACTATATATGTACATACACATTGTGGGGTCTGCCACGCCTCCTTCTGTGTGTTACATACATTTGCACAAAACTAGCATACTCTTTGGGTGCGGGGTATAAAAACATGCAAAATGTCAAGTCCCCAATCAACTGTGGATGCAGTTCGTTATGCGATCAGTCTGCGTGTTGATTGTGTTGTAAGTATTTATGCAGTTTGGGTTTTTCGATTATTTATTGTTTGAACCGAGTTCGAAGTCGATCGAAGGAAAATGCCGATTTAGCATAGAAACTTTGAAGCCCTTTTCCCCCCGTTCATAAGTATATAAGTAATATAGCCGAACAGACTTCGTTTTTTTCGAAACAAAATTGATGTGACAAATTCTGTCAATACATATGCATATATACATGGGTCTAAACATACATACTTGTACATACATATATGGACGACAGTGGTTCATGGTCAATGTGTTGGCATTAATTTTAAATAATAAAACCGTTGAATGCGGTATTTATAATATGCTGATTGCTTAAAACTAAAACGACTAAGTATCAAACCAACTGAACAAATCAGTTAAAGGAAAATATAGTAAATCACATGGACGACAATCCTATGTTATATTGCTCTGTTGCTCTCGCCCGTTGTCGCCGCAAAATAAAATGAAAAGTAAACGTTACGAGTGCTTAGAGGCAAGGGGCGTTACAAAGCCCCAACTCTTTCTTACATTAAATGCGGTTTACGCATAAGCCGGGTTGACTTTGACTTCGGCTTGGAAAGGCCAACTTACTCCGTAGCCACAACGCGCTGCCTGGCGAGGGGCGCGGCTGGTGGGTGGTGGTAAGTGAAATGCTAGTATTTACTCACATTTGTGTATGTGTCTGTCTGTCCGTAGTACGTACATACCACTTATATGCACTAACACATATGTACTATACATACCATGTATGTGATTGTGTACGAGCACACACAATTGCGCGTCATATGGAAAAATAACCTTAACTTCAGCAATGCCAAGCAATGCCCGCCAAAAAGTCCACAGTGGGCCGCGTCTCATCGAAACTAACTGTATATCGCTAACTATCAGACGAACTATAATACTACTTGTATAATACATTCCGAACACTGAGAATGAAACCCTTAAATAGGTTCAAATGGTATATGTATAATAATCAAAATAAATAACAAAACTTAATAGGCTTCTTTCGGCACAAATCATATGCAAAAATTGTATGAATGGCCGTTTTGATATCCCACACAACCTATGTCTCGAAGATTATAAGAGCTAGGGGCACCAAATGGTATGGTGGAAATGTGTATTTTATAATGTTTCTCCTTTCCCCTACTTCCCCGCTATTAGTAATCCCCCAAAACTCCGGTAACTCTTGAAATGCTTGCAAACAGACAGTCAATATGAGAATTTTCCATATTCGAGTATAGTTGCCGTTAATAAGAAGAATCCATTTAGGACGCAGAACTCGCACCGCTCTTTTATGAGTGTAAAAAGGATTGAATGCTGAGTGTTAATCGGTTACGCTCATTCGATTATAAAGAAAATGCGTTCAAAGTTACTCATTCGGAGTAGAGTAGATAAAAGTTACGAGGAACTGGTACCGCCATTAAATAGCAAAGCGGGTGGACATTCAGCCTGGAAACATGCGGGGAACTATTATTCACACAGATTGATGATTCGTTCTCAAGAAGAACATTATATGTATTTATAACCTGTGCCCAGAAGGTATGCACCTAATTCTGTTTTTACACGGTTTTCATTTAACACGGTTTGAAAATTAAACAAGAGAGAACGCTACAGTCGAGCAAGCCCGACAGTGAAATACCCTGTACCCAGACAAACTTCCGTCACTGAGTTATACATATGTGCCCATAGCAGAGTCAAAAAGAGGAAGAAGAAGAGCAAACTTATTGCTGCAGTTTGGGGGGTTATACTGGAAATAAAATTTTGAGCTAAGGTAGATAACTGTACATAGATTGCGTGTGCAAAGTTGGGTTTATGTTGCTTTTGAAATGTGGATAGTATTGACGAAATTCTGTAGCGTGGGAAGGGGGGAAAATTCAAGAAAATAAAAAAAACTCGTTCTTTCTCGGACCTAGGAGAATATGGATACCAACTTAGGTTATTCTAGCTTTAATAGTTTCTGAGATTATTGCGTTCATCCAGACAGACGGACAGACATGTCTAGATCGATGTCTCTCGTCATGCTGATCAAGAATATATATACTTTATGGGGTCGGAGATGCTTCCTTCTGCCTGTTACATACTGTGCACAAACCTAATATACCCTTTTTACCCTACGGGTACAGGGTAAAAAATGTATGGGTTACATGACTTTTTTAGGAACCAATCTACCGTGCAAAAGCAGAATTAGGTTTGTATAAAAGGGTAAACCGGTTTCAAATATGCAATGTGCACAAAGAAGTGGTACACAGTAGTGCCCGCCAGTACTCGTAGGTATTACATTTTAAAGAAAACAAATTATTTACGAGCAAGTTCTATTACTCAATTCATTCATTAAATGTCGGTGGAAAACCGAAAAAAAAAATCTAGACTTCATTAAAATGTCAGGAGACTGTTCAGATGATGCCGATGAAAAGGATGGCCGTGAGGACGCAATTCTAGCCCTGTTGTATGATTGGACTGTGAAGAACGTGTTCACGCCCAACGATCTGGGAACAATGGTCGCCTATGTACTCCTCTTCCTTATTTCGTGGTATGTCATCTTGTCGGCCTTACGCTTCGTGATGCGACTAATGTGGCCGGTGATAGTCGTGGTATCGGCGGTGCTGTTGTTTCGTTTTCTAAGAACCTTTGAACCGGCCGATCTGGCGGACATGTTTCTTTACGCCATTGGCCTAGTGGCTGATGTAATAATAGTGTGTCTGGCCAAAACTATTCAATTTTTATTGCATTTATTTGGGTGAGGCCACTGGTGGCTGCCCTCCAAACCTCAGTAATCCGACGCATCCCATGATTGACTATATTTGAAGCCTGTATGATCGTAACCTAACAAAATTGTTGTACTTGTATGTTGTACGTATTGCCCCAATGCAAGAAAAAAGCAAAAGTCGAAATTAAACGTTATTTCTGATTACAAGTAAATGAAGAGACAGTTGGTTCGACTGGGCGCTTTTCGCATCGCTGCCATCATCAGATACAAGTAGCTGGCTTCAAAATGTGGTTGGTTTGCTTAGCAGCTTTTGACGTTGACGCTGCCGCCACCGCTGCTGCCACCGCTGCTGCCACCGCTGCTGCCACCGCTGCTGCCACCGCTGCCGCCACCGCCGCTGCCGTCAATGACGTGCAGTTTTGTGAAGAGCAGAGCGCGTATAAAAGGGCTGCCCAGCGAAGAGCTTGGCAACATTGTGGCAGCTACTTCAGTGCGCGACACTTGTGGATTACGCGAGAGGAATTAAGTGACGCCCGCCTTAAGGATATATCTATTTACATATATATCGCACATAATTTCTCATTAGTGACTTTCTTTTTGTTTGGTGCAAAATATAAAATGAAAATCGGTGTAAGTGTGTGCAAAATGTTCAAAAGAAACAGCAAATCCGAAGAGACAATAGCAACAACAACAACATAAACCATAAACAAAAATTCTATTTCGCAGCTCTCGTGCCTTCTGGCGACGTACGCGCTTTACAGCCTCGTCGGCTCTTCGCAGGCCGAGCAGTTTCAACTGCAGCAGTCGAAACTAAAGCGTGATGCTGGGCTACATTTTGGCACTAGCGCCGCACACTCCTCCCACTCCGCGCACTCATCCTCCTCCTCCCCCTCATCCCACTACCATGGACCCTCGCACAAGTATTTACCACCCGCTTCGAGTGTCTTAGGCTACGAAGGTGGCAGCTACAGTTCGCTGCACGGTAATGGACTGGCTTCCAGCCATGGTCTTGACTTTGGCAGCCTAGATGCGGACAATTACCACCTTGGGCATCAGCCGCAACCATCGCCGCATCATCATCAGTCCCACCACCATGTGTCGGCACATCGCCCCTTATACCACCATGCGCCTAAGGTGGAGACATACATTGTGCAGACAAGCAGCCACGGGCATGGCGGTGGGCATGGGCTAGGTCATGGGATCGGAACAGGACATAGCGTTTCTCTTGGCCATGGCCATGCTGCCCATGGTGGGTACAAGCTCAGTCCACACATCGGAAGCAGCAGCATCGGAGGAGGAGGAGGAGGCAGCACTCTGAGCTTACTGGGCGGACACAAGCTGCACACCGGATTTATGCTTCCCAGCTCCTTGCATCGATATGGCGGAGAATACAGTTATAGCGGGCATCAGAGCAAGCCAAGCTTTGCCTCCTCCAGCCACACTTCCAGTCATGGTCCCAGTCTAAGCCTGAGTCACGGCCATGGTTCTAATCTGGGTCTAAATCATGTAGCCTTAGATCTGAGTGGACATTCCCATGGCAGTTCCTCCTCCTCTGGTTCTGGCTATCACTATTCGCCCACGCTATCGCACGAGCTGGAGTCGCATCATGTACACGGTGGTGCTCAAGAGTCTTCCGGCTACAGCTACGATGTGCCCAGTCTTGCCTTTGGCGCCGGCAGCAAGCCCATAAGTAGTTATGGTGTTCCTCTGCTTTCGGGCTACGATCATGAGCCCAAAGAGGAGTCAACTGCAGGAGTCTCATCGCACGGACAGCATGAGCACGAGCAAGCTCCCGCATATGCCCTAGGTCAGAAGGGTCTGGGTCACTTCACCTACACGGCCAGTACCCCCCATGCCCTGCACACCGACATCATTGGGCTGACCAGCCACCACCAATCGGATGAGGGAGCGCATTCAGTGTCCATGCACGAGCACAATGACCACACCGTTGAACTCTCGAAGGCGCCCTTTAAGCCTTCCGCCTTCCTTGGTGCCAAGCACGAGAGTAGCAGCGATGGACACGACTCTCAAAGCTATGATTTTGATGCCGCCAACACGCAATATGTACAGGCGCCCATCTCAACGGGCTACGACTACCAACCATCCACTGTGCTCTATGGTGCCCCCACGCACTCGGGTGACTCGGCCACACCCATTTTTGAACCGGAGGCGACATATTTGCCACCTGCAGCCGCTGCCGTGCCACAGCTCAGCTATGGCCAGCCCGCGGGCTCCAGTCATGGCTATCATCACTGATAGCCAGACTTGACCATCAGTTAGTTTCCCTACAATAATTTATAAAGCTAAGTTACGAACTTTTTTTTTGCTCCTAGTTTTAAGTTCGTCGTTACGAATTACAGCGAATAAATGTATTTAAGAAAATCAAAATACTTATAATTTAAAATTCACATGCGCATCTTTTTAACTTTCTCGGCCATTTTCTTGGCAGCCTGAGACCTTTCCAGAATTATTGCCGCATGTTTTTTGCCGCAGGTGTTTAGGATGCAAAAGTTGTCGCCGAATTTGGCTGCTTGCTGCGATTTCGCTTTTTTGAAGCGTGTTTTTTTCTTACTGATTTGTTGTTTGTGAATTTGGAACAATTGTTGAAATTGAATTGAATTTAATTCAATGGGTGGGGCGAAATGCCTTTGGCATGCCCAATTAGCTTCGATGGTAGGGTGCTTAATAGGCTGTTAGAGCCTTGACGAACTACATGCGTGTATGTCGGATATCTTGTGCCTCAAAATAGAAAACAAAAAATATCAACCAACAAGTTGAGATCAGCCAAAAATTAATTTAATTGCTTTTTAAAATGAAATAAAAACAAGTTTATCCTTAGTTTTATCTTTCATCTTTATTTAAGGTCTGCCCTAGGTAGGACAATTAGTAAATGATATGGCAACCTTGTCCATTATTATAACGTGATTTCAATCGAGTGCCTACTTAGGAATAAGCTCAGATTGCGTGATTCGACTAGCCCGCTAAACTATGCCAGGCCACTCTAGCTAATGAGTGCGGAAGGAGAACTCGAGGGGATGCTTCCTTTTGAGACGCCTGAGCTGCTGGCTGTTGTCCAGCTTTCCAAGTTTTGTGTTGAGGGTCTTTCTTTTACCAGAAATATGGGCACGCCAAGTGAGTCTCTATATCTAAGGTGAATCAGCATGCAAGATGATGTCATTGCTCAGAATGGAAAATACCTCCAGTCAGTGATTATGTGTTCGTATGCCAGATTCATCAAATTCATCAAAAGAGGAATGGAGGTTATAGCCATAAATGTTTCGTTTATTTTTTTAATTTTCCTAATACCACACAGAAGGAGGCTTGGTAGACCCCACAAAGTATATATATTCTTGATCAGCATGACAAGCCGAGTCGATATAGCCATGTCCGTCGGTCTGTCCGTCTGTCTGTCTGTATGAACGCAAGGATTTCAGAAAGTATAAGAGCTAGAATAACCAAACTTGGTATACAGATTCTCCTGAGACCGAGAAAGGACGAGTTTGTTCATTTTTTCTGATCCTCCCCCCCACTCCCCCCCCCCCCCTATTAACGGTTTTCTATAACTCCCGTAATTCTGAAATTTGGTAGTCACATTAGGTTAGTGATTATATATCCGTATACCAAGTTTCATTATGATAGAATGATTGGAAAAAAAGTTATAGCCATATAACCAGGCCCAATGCACATACTTGTATGTACAAGTACACAAACACGCATAAGGCACGATTCTGATGTAATTGTAAATGTATGTATGCATGCATGGAATATTTTATATTTAATTTAGTTAATTAATTAAATTAATTTAATTAATTACATTAATTTAGTTAATTAATTAAATTTAATTAATTTAATTCTTTTTTGTGGGGTGGTACAGGGTATTTAAGAGTTGAGCCTGCTCTTTAGCATTCCTTTCTTGTTTTTTGAATTAAATTATATTGCATGGGAGAGAATTATAGCCCCCAGCAAAATAATGATGTCGGATTTATCGGTTATATGGCAGATATATGAGTTAGTTGCCCAACTGAACCAAAACTTGGCATGTCGTCTTGAGGGACTAAAATATGAGTACAACCTAAATTTGGTAATGTAAATATCTTAATATTTCGAATTGATGCCAACCAATGGGGATTTGGGACCATAGTGCAGAGAGTTCTCAGAGTTGTATGCGCGCACAGCAGAAGAAGAAGCAGAAAGAAGAAGAAGAAGAGCGAACTCGATGCTGCGTGGGGGCGTAATACTGGAGTGAAATTGTATCGCTCGAGTAATCAATGTCCCAGGCATTCGTTTCGGCCATTCTACTGTTACGCAACAAGCTGAGTGCGTGTGGAGCGTACAACCTGTTTCTCTGTGATCCTTAAATCGCATCAAAATTTCTATAACTTGTGCATATGAGGCGCTGTTCGCAGTGGCGACCACTGACCACTGACCTATATCGAAAACACACAAGCACGCCGTAATGAAAGTGAAAGGATGCATGACTCGGATCGCGTCGGAAATATTAAAATGTGCGACTGCTTGGCTCGCAGCGAAAAACTTAGGCAACGAACTTGTTTTCGAGCGCATTATTTATAGCTTTTTAATTTGATTGTTTTGGCTTGCATGGGGGTTTCAGATTGAGTTGAATTGGAATGGATTGGATTGAATTGCTGTGGTTTTTGGCATGCGGCAGTCAGTTGTGGCTGCCACCTGACACAACCAATTGAAAGCTGGCATTTTTATGAGAGCGCGGGAAAGTTTCTATGCGTTTTGTATTACAACAATGACAATGACCATAACAATAACACTAGCAGTAACAGTAACAGTAACAGCAGCAACTGTGGCTACAGAAACAGAAACAGAAACAGCAACAATAACAACAGCCACTGTGGTCAATGCACCAGGCACGAGGCACTAGGCATTGTGTATTACATGCTATGTGTAGGGCTTGAGCGGCTTTGGCCTGAACTTGAAAACTGTGAGTGAGCTCGAGTGTGCGAAGACTTCTCTGCGCATTTGCATAATTGCTTTTGGAAAATGCGTAAAATATGCAAAATTGTTTTTCTCGTCTGCAAGATGATAATTGCAGAACTGAACATTTCGCACATCCGTTGCGGAAGTGACCCCCGCACGCACACTCACACTCACACTCACATAAGAGGCCACTTCCGCATTCCGAAATATAAGAATACGAAAAAGTTCTGGGGCACGTTAAGAGCATCAAGAAACGTGGCAATTATTAGTCATTGTTATTATTATTTTACTTTTTTTATCACTGTTTGTTTTGAAATGGTCGTTTCTCAATTTTTGAGTCAATTTTCGCAGCTTTTTTTGCGTTTTCAGGTAAACGTTGGGTCAAAACTGTTATGCCCATTATGCTTCTCTGGTTACAACATCGCCCATATTTACAAAACATACTATACATACATATGAGTAATACATAATAATCACACACACTCACTCGCACGTGAAAAATTGCCATTTTTGTTTGTTATTTTATTTCTTTTTAAATAGCATCAACAAGTTCATTGAGGCGCGACAAAAAATATATTCAATTCCCCTTCCCTTCCTTTCCTTTCATTTCCCTCCCCACCTCATCACTACACTATTTACTAATGTCCATATGTCTGCTCTAACAATAAATTAGATAATTTGAATATGATTTTGTTAATTTTTGTATGTTTCATTTCTTTTAAATTGTAAGCCAAGTCATTGTATCGGACGGTGCCAAACGACCATATGGCTTGTTGTCTTATTACGAGTGTGAGGCTCTCTATCGATAAATGGTCGAAAGTAATATGGGAAAACACTATGTGAAATTTTGTGCCGTTCCGCTAATCTACACGTCTGGCTGATTGCGGCGTTTTTAGAGCATGGTGGGCATGAATGGGCCAACAGAGAGTGTCGCCAAGCTGGAAGACGGAGATTAAAGATTATGACCACTTTTCTCTTTATCTATTTCATTGTCTTGAGGGGAAGATTGCTTTGATTGTGGTATAACCTGAAATAATAATTGACCCGTTTCCAATTTCGGTTTAATAAGTTCAAAGTTCATTCAAAAAATTGTTTCCAAATTAAATTATTTGTATATCATTTCCATACTGATTTCTTCGATCGAGGATGACCGCAAAGAAAGAAGACGAAAAGTGAGAAAATACTCAACTTGCTCCATACTCGCCGTAAGTCGCGTGAACGTTAGAACCATGATTGTAAAATTTCACCCACAGAGTGGCCTAAGAATATGCGAAATATAAATGCATTAAAAGAGGAATAAGTCATAATAAACACGTGATTGATACACATTATTGTTATATACAATTAACTGTACCTTAGAACATAAGTTGTATTACTTTACTGAACATACAATTTACCTCCAATATCTTTGATATCTTTAAATATGCCCTTAAAGTGGAAAAGCTAAAGTGCGGTGTCTCGACATTCAAATACCCTGTACTTGGGTGTAGAATATTTATATCAAATTAAAAAAACAAACAAAATTAATTCTGAGATTCTTGCTCTCATACAGACGGACGGACAGACGGACGGACGGACATGGCTGTATCGACTCGTCTTGTCATCCTGATTACTAATATATATACTTTGTGGGGTCTGCCACGCCTCCTTCTGTGTGTTACATACATGCGCACAAAACTAATATACCCTTTTACCCTTTGGGTACAGGCAATAAATAGGTTTTTCTTCAATCACGACTCTTTTCATACTCTGCACTCATTCATCATTAAAATGGTTATAGGTTAAAAAGGTTATCTGTAACTTCCTCACTTGCTCAAAGTGATTATAAGTGGATGATTTTTTCGTTTACAAAAAAATAATAATACAAGTAATAATCACTATTTGCGGTCCCAAAGCCGTATAATTGAATGCATAATTGCACATTTACATCGGGATTGTGTCAATACTTCTCTATATGTGTCTATGCGTGCCTATGCGAGAGTATACATATGTGCAGTAAAGAATTGCTACAAGAACAGCTGCTGGCAGAGTATGGGTAGAGATTACATGTATGGAATTTGTTGTCCAATTAATTAAAAAAATTTGCGTTAAAAAAGCCTTCAGGCCATCGGATCACTGCAGTGTGTTCCAGGCGGAAATCATAGCTCTTCAAGAAGCTCTTCTTATACTGCCAACCCCAGCCATAGACAGCAGGGAAATCTGTATATACTCGGATAGCCAAGCGGCAATAAAATTCCCAAATATCGTCATATCGAACTAGTTGTTAGTACATAACTGTCGCAAATCTCTTCACGAGATGGCAACAC